CCAAATCAGAGTAACCAACTAGCTCAAACTTTGCTCCTTTGGGATACCACAAACCAATATTTTGTGTATGCTTCAAGTACCTCAATATTCTCTTTGTAGCCTTCAAATGACTTTCTCTTGGTGAGGCTTGAAATCTTGCACACATGCATATACTAAATATGACATCCGGCCTTGATGCGGTCACATAGAGTAGGCTTTCAATCATAGACCGATATAATTTTTGATCCATCATATTGCCACTTGCATCACTATCCAAGTTGCCATTTGTTCCCATTGGTGTACTAATGGTTTTGCTATCACTCATGCTAAACTTTTTGATCATGTCCTTGATATACTTGTCTTGACTCACAAATATACCATTCTTTAATTTCTTGATTTGAAGACCAAGGAAGTAACTTAACTCTCCAATCATGGACATCTCAAACTCATTAGCCATCATCTTTCCAAATTCTTCACAAAAATTTTGATTGGTTGATCCAAATATGATGTCATCAACATAGATTTGCAATACAAATAAGTTTTTTCTAATCTTCTTGATGAAAAGAGTGGTGTCAATCTTGCCCATCATGAACTCTTTAGAGAGTAGGAAGTCCCTCAATCTCTCATACCATGCTCTAGGTGCTTGCTTCAAGCCATACAATACCTTCTTCAACTTGTACACATAGTCGGGCTTCTCATCATCTTCAAAACCGGGAGGTTGTTCAACACATACTTCTTCATTGATGTAACCATTGAGAAATGCACTCTTGACATCCATTTGATAAAGCTTGATGTTGTGGGTACAAGCATAAACTAGCAAGATTCTAATTGCTTCCAATCTAGCAATCGTGGCATATGTTTCTCCAAAGTCAAGACCTTCAACTTGTGTATATCCTTGTGCTACTAATCTTGCTTTGTTCCTTACTACTATCACATCTTGATCTTGCTTGTTTCTAAAGACCCATTTGGTTCCAATCATATTGTGTCCCTTTGGTCTCTCTACTAATTCCTATACTTGATTTCTTGTGAAGTTATTCAATTCTTCATGCATAGCATTCACTCAATCAACATCCTTCAATGCTTTATCTATCTTCTTTGTTTCAATAGATGATACAAATAAGAAATGCTTACAAAATAAAGCCAATCTTAATCTAGTTTGCACACCTCTTGAAATATCACCAATGATAGTGTCCAATGGATGATCTCTAGCAATATTGATTGGTTGGAGTATTGTAACTTGATTACTTGCACTTGCTTGATCATTGAGTTGAGATGATGCACTAGCCACTTGATCTTGTTCATTATCATGAGAGCCACTTGTACTAGTTTGATTTGTATCATCTTGCATATTTGAGTTAGAGAGCACTTGCACTTGATTATCTTCATCATCATTCACTTGCCTAGGCCTCAATTCACCAACATCCATGTTCTTCATGGCATTTGAAAGTTGAATGCCTCTAACATCTTCTAAGTTCTCATTTTCTTCTTTGTGAACCCTTTGTTTCATCAAATTCAACATCATGAACTTCCTCAAGAGTACCACTATGCAAATTCCAAACTCTATATGTTTTGCTAGTAGTTGAGTATCCAAGTACCTTCTTGACTCTTTCTTGTTCTTGGATGAAGACTTCTTTCTTCTAAGCTCGGTAGCCCTTCTTCATCATGAACTTGCCAAATCTCTTGACGAAGAGAGTTATCTTCTCATCATCTATCTCATCAAAGCTCAAGTCTTTATCTTCACTTGATGATTCTTACTTTGCCTTGCCCTTAGATGATGTGGCCTTGAATGCCACACTCTTCTTCTTCTCATCTTTCTTCTTCTTCTTTTCTTCCTTCTCATTATCATCTCTATATGTATCATCGGTCATTATATCTTCCAACACTTGGTTTGGTGTCATGGTGTCCAAACCACTCCTCACTAGAATAGTGACCAATATACTAAATCTTGATGGTAAACATATCAAGAACTTATGGGAGAAGTCCTTATCCTTCACTTTCTTCTCCAAGTGCTTTGAGATCATTGACAAGCACTTGAAGCCTATGGAACATCTCTGGTACACTCTCATCCTCCTTCATCTTGAAGCTTGCAAACTTCTCTTTGAGAATGTATGCCTTTGCACCCTTCATGGCTTGAGTGCCCTCAAATGATTCCTCCAACTTCTTCCATGCCTCATGAGCTCTCTCAATGTTTTTGATTTGCTCAAATGTTCTCTCATTCAAAGCATCATGGATGGCACTAAGACCAATATCATTATTTTGGAGTAGCATCTCTTCGGCGGTGGTGGGAGCCTCCTCATCATCAATCTCAATCTTGGTCTCTACCATCTTCCAAACCTTCCTATTGATTGACTTGATATAAGTTGTCATCTTAGCCTTCCAATAGGGATAGTTTGAGCCATCAAATTGGGGTGGCTTTGTGGTGTTGTTGATTTGAGCCATTTTTACACCGAAGGTTGTTAAGCCTAAAATCACGGTGACTCGGACTCCGATACCACTTGAAAGGTCCTAATGGCTAGAGGGGGTGAATAGCCTATTAAAATTTTTTACAACAACACTAAAACAAATGATTAGTCAATAAGATGGCGAAACGAGTGTTGCGCTAGCCTACTAAAAATACAAGCCACCTACCACAATTCTAGTTTCTATAGTCTCTATCCACACAATGGCTATGTTACTACACTAAGTTAGTGTGCTCTCAAAGACTAACTAAAGAGCCACACTAACCAAACAAATAAGCTCTCACGACTAGCTACATTAAAGAGCTTGACAACTAGTTTGCAGTAATGTAAAGAGATAGAGCAAGATGGTTATACCGCCAAGTCGAGGAATCAATCAATCAATCACAAGAAAGAATACCAATGAATACCAATCACCTCGGAATTAATTGATGACACAATGATTTTTTTATCGAGGTTCACTTGCTTGCCGACAAGCTAGTCCTCGTTGTGGCGATTCACTCACTTGGAGGTTCACGTGCTAATTGGCATCACATGCCAAACCCTCAATAGGATGCCGCACAACCAACACAAGATGAGGATCACACAAGCCACGAGCAATTTACTAGAGTACCATTTGGCTCTCCGCTGGGAAAAGGTTAAGAACCCCTCACAATCACCACGATCGGAGCCGAAGACAATCACAAACCTCCGCTCGATGATCCTCGCTGCTCCAAGCCATCTAGGTGGCGGCAACCACCAAGAGTAACAAGCGAATCCCACAGCGAAACACGAACACGAAGTACCTCTAGATGCAAACACTCAAGGAATACACTTGGATTCACTCCCAATCTCACAAAAATAATGAATCTATGATGGAGATGAGTGGGAGGGCTTTAGGTAAGCTCACAAGGTTGCTATGTCAATGCAAATGGCCAAGAGAGTGAGCTAGAGCCGGCCAAATGATGTTTATAGACACTCCCAAACAATAGAGCCGCTGGCTCAATTATTGGGCTGACTGCGGTACGACCGGACGCGCAGGTCGTGTGCACCGAACGCGTCCGGTTGCTGCGTTCGGTTACTGGTTGACCGCCATGTGTCCCATTCAAATGAAGTAGCCGTTGCCGCCCAACGGCCCTCTCCCAGAGCCGCTCAACTGCGACCGGATGCGTTCGGTCGCTTCTTTGCAATCCTATATCGAGCTATATCACTTTGACCTCGTTAGCGTCCGGTCACTCTACTAAGCCAGAGTCCGGTCACTTTCACTTAGTCGCTCACCTCGGGTCCAAATATCGGACGCGTCCGGTCACTTCCGTCTGACTACCCGAAGTCTGGATAAAATACCGGACACGTCCGGTAGCCATACCGGACGCGTCAAGTCACTCTATGACTAGCGAGACTAACTCCTTTTTCAACTCTATCTTCTTTACCCTTACTCAAATGTGCCAACCACCAAGTGTATCACCTTGTGCACATGCGTTAGCATATTTTCATAAAAATTTTCAAGGGTGTTAGCACTCCACTAGATCCTAAATGCATATGCAATGAGTTAGAGCATCTAGTAGCACTTTGATAGCCGCATTTCGATACGAGTTTCACCCATCTTAATAGTATGACTATCGATCCTAAATGTGATCACACTCGCTAAGTGTCTCGATCACCAAAATGAAAAAGCTCCTATCAAGTTTTACCTTTGCCTTGAGCTTTTTGTTTTTCTCTCTTTCTTCTTTTTTAAGTCCAAACATTTAATCATCACCATGCCATCACCATCATCATGATTTTCACAATTGCTTCATCACTTGGAGTAGTGCTACCTATCTCATAATCACTTTGATAAACTAGGTTAGCACTTAGGGTTTCATCAATTCACCAAAATCAAACTGGAGCTTTCAACGGTAAGTGATGGGCGCCGGGGGATGGGGCACGACAAAGCTGGGGACCGACGGACGGGGGGCGCAGCGAGCTAGGGACCGGCTCCGGAGTCCCGCCCATGTGGAGGGAGAGGAGGGGTCCGGGGAAAGGAGCGGGGCGCAGCGTGACAGGGGCAGGGTGTGCGTGCGAGGCAGGGGCAAGGCGGACGGGGACGAGCTGCGTAGCCGTCCATCTGGACGCTAGGAGCAGCGGGCGTAGATCGCCAGCGGTCCCACGGGCATGGGCCCTGGGTGGGCGCGTGAAAAACAGGCACGGAGTGTAGGCATGCACTAGGGAAATAAATTGGCTCGGTCGATGGTACCGTCCGATCGGACGTCCGGGCGCCAACAGTTCCCTAGTAAAATTGAAAAATACACAATGTTTATGGGTGAATAGAATTGTTTCAAATTTCGTTGATACTCATAGGCTTGAGAGTATACAGTGCCACTCACCGAAACAAAAAATCACTATTCATCCACTAATTATTTGTACCCTGAAGTAACATGGGGATTAAAAACAAAACAAAGAGAACTCAGCTCAACTAGTGAACACAAAATACATTAGATTTTACACTTGGCCAATGCAAATCCTCAGCCGTGGTGATCACAATGCAATTCACAATCGTAGACAAGAAATCCCCCACCACCACAAAGCAACGAAACAAAAGACCTCCACTCAAATGGAGCTCCATCCTTTTGCAGCGGGAAGAGGAGGGATGCTCTGCTCATTCCTGAAGAAGTCATCAGGATCCACCATGGCCTTCACAGCTGCCAGCCTCTCAAAATTACCTTTAAAATACTTCTCCCCCCAGATCCTCGCCTTGGCGTAGCTAGTCACATTATTGTCCAACTCATTCGTCCCAAGATCCAAGTCCCTGTAATTGATATAGCCAGTTCTTGGGTTCTTGGATACATACGGCTCCATCTGCCCGTACAACCCTCTGACCCAGGTCATCCGCTTCTCCAATGCTGCAGTGCCATTCTCGAACCAGTACGAGTAGTACTGGATGTTGTACAGGTTCCCCTTCCGGTGCGGGAACGGCGTCGCTGACGGAGAGATGCTGCCCATCCGGCCGCCGTAGGGGTCCAGGATGAGCAGCCCGGCCTCGGGCTTCTCCAGCCACGACCATGTGTTCTCCCACACGTGCCGCGGGATGGGTTCTTGCACGAAGTCGGACTTGGCCTTGACGTACCTGCGCGTCTCGCCGCTCCTGTCCAGGAGCAGCTCCAGCGGCTTGGAGCTGGAGTAGAAGGCGAAGTACACGGTGGACTGGATCCAGCTTATCTCCTCGCAGTCCGTTTGGGTGACGCCAAGGTCGGGGAAGTGAGCTCGCATGTGGTCAAGGAGGCGGCTGCAGCGGCCGAGGAACAAGGCCTCAAATTGCGCGTGCTGGTTCTGCACGACAAGCCGGAGGATGAGGTCCCGGGGCAGCGCCGGCGCGATTGCCTGCCATTTGGTGATGAGATCCGAGGCGGACTGTCTTATTGACCGGCGCACGGTGAACACGGTGACTGTCTCCGGCACGCGCACGAGGCGGAGCTTCCAAGACAGTACGACACCGAAGCTCTCTCCGCCGCCACCGCGGATGGCCCAGAACAGGTCCTCCCCCATGGTGGTCCGGTTCAGGAGCCTCCCGTCGGCGTCAACGAGGACGGCGTCAATGACGTTGTCCGCGGCGAGGCCGTACCTGCGCATCAGCGTGCCGAACCCGCCGCCGCTGAGGTGCCCGCCGACGCCGACGGTGGGGCAGATCCCCGCGGGGAACGCGAGCACGCGGCTGGCGGCGGCGACGGCGTAGTAGACCTCGCCGAGCGTGGCTCCCGATCCGGCCCACGCCTCGGCGCGCGCGGAGTCAACGCGGACGTCGCGGAGAGCGGCGAGGTCGAACACGGCGAAGCGCTCGCGGGGGTCGAGGGAGGCGTAGGATAGGCCCTCGTAGTCGTGCCCGCCGCTTCGGGCGCGGACGCGCACGCCGTGGCGGCGGCCGCAGCGTACGGCGGCCTGCGCGTGGGCGGGCTCGGCGGCGGCCACGATGGCGAGCGGCCGCGGGGTGCCCGGCGTGACGTAGCGGAGGTTGCGCACGGAGGAGAGCAGCAGCGCAGAGTACGACGGGGACGCCGGGGTCTGCAGGAGGCGCGGCGGGACGCCGGCGCCGACGAGGCACACGAGGAACGCGTCGGTCGCATTGAAAACTGAGGCGACTGCGATGCTGCCGCAGGAGAGGGCGCAGATGGCGGCCACGACGACGAGCTGGTACAAGATTCCGAGCATGATTGAGGATTTGAGGCCAAAGCAGCAAAATTGATGTGGATTCGGAGGGGATTTGTTCAATTCTGTACTATACCGACTAGTACTTTTTTTTTGAACTCGTACCTACTAGTACTTGACTGCAAGTGCAAGGGCATGTGGACCGAAGGGGATTTCTTCAGGACTTTCAAATAAACAAGTATATAGAAGAGAGACCATGTTAAAGAAAAAAAAAACACAATCCCATTTTACCGTCGTTCCTTCCATAAGCCAAGTAATAAATTTTGACTGAACCGCAATTGCGCTGCGGGCCAGCGGCTTTGAGGATCATGATGGTCCCTGGTCCAAACAAAATCCATAGATAGAACGGTCGAAAAATATCAACGAGGTTATGCACCGACACTCGAGTGTAAACCTGATTTTCTGTGTTACCATCCATCAATCCCAAAAAACAACCCTGACAAGCCCGTCACTGATACTCGACGGACCACTAGTAAGATGACAAGAGAATTAGAGGACCATTATTCTAAATAACATCGTTACCAATTTGATAGCTTTGTCCAGAGATCGATGCCATGGAAAGCGGAACTCATAGCCAATCGTGCCATCAAGGAAGAAACAACCGAAGCAAAGATGGACATGGGACTAACACAAGGAGATTCGTGAGCACCACCACTGTTGGCAAAGGTCTGATTTTGTTGTGTTGTTTAAAAAGCTCTTTCTTATAATTTCAGATATCCTGATCTAAACTTTTGATAGTGACATGAACTAAAACTCTCAACTTATATTTTTGAAATACAACATGGCATGATATGTCATGAACTTTTTTTCTGCAATTTAGCAAATTTGTGATATGGAAATTTTGAACTTCGAATACAATACTATGATCTAAAACCTAAAACTTTGATTTCTACAACTAGGCGCAATTATGTGATCTGAACATCATATCTGAATTTATCTAATACCATGATCTGCCTGCAAAGTTTCTTGTTGTTTTCAGTATGAGGTTCCTTGATCAAGTTTAGTACATATGTATTGTACATTTGTACTCATGCATCGTTGACCATTTTCCAGATCCTATCATAGTTACTTATCGCATTCACGTGTTATTTGCATATGCTGCTAGTAGCCACCATCGTAGGCAAGAGGGCTACTGCCTCATCTATTTGTGAGAGATTGATGATTTCTGCATGAAAGATCCGACATCTCATATTATACACAATGCATCCATATTGTATAACCGATGGCGGACCTAGGATTTGAACTCAGTGTATGTCTAGTAAAAATATTGTCAAGGGCGTCAAACCCTTGGGTAGCTGGACCTCGGCTATGTAATTCGTAGCCGCGATCTGTCTTCTAGGGCGAGGTTATACCCCTCAGCGACCTAGGCTTGAGAGTTGGGAGGAAGAAGACAGATTGATTTATATCTTTCTTATTCTCCAAGGTGCCGGTTACAGGGAAAATATATAATCCTTGATGGAATAAAAATAGTAACTAATCACTCCTCAATCTTAGGGATACTAACAATGCTGCCTATATTAGCCACTAGAAGGCTCGCCAACCCCCTCGGGTCGTCCGTGACGCCATTGGCGCACTCACTGCGTGTTTAATGTCACGGGCCCGACGACGCCTCGGTATAGGTCCGGCCGCACATGACATCTCTCCTCTCCTCTGTACCACTCGCCCCCGAGCCGGAATGTCGAAAGCGCTACCAAGGAGTCCTAGTCCTCCCAAGTAGCAGAAGAAGCCGGCTCGCCGCCTTCCAATGGACGAGGACCTAGCGACGCCGCATGCCGTGAGTGCGGATAACGCTGTCCTGTTCGGAACCAGAAGCGCCATTGTGGATGGCCGGAAGCGGGCGGAGGAGCTGCCGGAGGAGCCCCGCCCATTTTTTTTAGGAGCCCGACATGGAAGACGCTCATGGAGCCCAGCCCGAGGCGGAAGTGCAACACTTAACGACGACGGCGTTGATGATCTCGGTGACCTGATAGGGCCTGAAGAAGCGAGGCTTCAGCTTCCCTGTTGCGGCGTCTGAAAGGGACGCGATGGGGCGATGACGGAGGTGCAGCAGCACCCAATCGCCCACGGCGTAAGCCACCACGTGGTGCTGCTTGTCGTATTGCCGCTTCTGGACCGCCTGTGCCTGTTCCAGCCGAAAACGAACGTCCTGGAGGAACTCCTCACGCTCAGCCATAGTCTTGGCCACAGCAGCAACCCGTGTTTCCCCAGGCTCATAAGAGTAGATGGTCAGGGGATCACGGTCGTAGACAATGCGGAAGGGCGTGTCATGGAGGGAGGTCTGGTACGCCGTGTTGTAGACAAACTCCGCCCAAGGGAGCCACCTAAGCCATTGACGAGGGCGATCACCTGTGAAACAACGAAGGTACATGGCGATGACGCGATTGGCCGCCTTAGTTTGGCCATCCGACTGTGGATGGAAGGCTGTCGTCATGTGCAGCTTGGCCCCCATGAGCCGCATCAACTCGCGCCAAAACGTCGAGGTGAAGATGGGATCCCGATCGGACATTAGGGACTGCGGCATCCCATGGAGGCGGACGATGTCGGTGAAGAAAGCCTGAGCGATGGACTCTGCAGAGTATGGATGAGCCAGTGGAATAAAGTGACAATACTTGCTGAAGCGATCCACCACAGTGAGGATGACGGATTTGCCCCGATCTTTGGGCAAAGCTTCCACGAAGTCAAGCCCAATGTCCGTCCACACTGCCGTCGGCACGGGCAGCGGCAGAAGGAGTCCCACCGGGTGGAGGTGCTCTGACTTGTACCGCTGGCAAGTGGCATAGACACGAACAAAGTCCTGCACGTGCTGGCACATGTTGGGGAAGTGGAAGTCACGGCGGAGACGATGCAGCGTGCGCTGGACACCCTCGTGGCCGTCCTCATGGATTGCGGCGACGATCTCCAAAAGGAGTGGCGAAGACGGGGCGATGTAGAGGCGACCGTCGTAGGTGACCAAGCCATCCTGGACGGCCCAAGGCGCCGCGCGGGTGCCTGCGACGATCTCGTCCCGAAGGGCAACGAGAGCCGGATCCACATCCTGTGCTTGATGAAGGCAGTCGATGAAGTCGAAACGTGGCACAGACAACGCCAAGACCGCCCCCATGCTGTCCTTGGTGTCGCGGCGAGACAGCGCATCAGCGACCGTGTTCTGGGTGCCCGGCTTGTACTCCATGGCGAAGTCGAACCCCAGGAGCTTCCCGACCCAGTGATGCTGCGGGATCATGGCAAGCCGCTGGTCCAACAAATACTTCAGACTGTAATGATCGGTCCGCACCGTGAAGCGGTGGACCTAGAGGTACGGGCGCTAATGGCGGATGGCGTGGACGGTGAGCTCCCGTTCGTAGGCGGTGAGGGAGCGGTGGCGAGGAGCAACCAGCCTGCTGAAGTAGGTGATGGGATGCTTGTCCTGGATGAGCACCGCCCCGAAACCGTGTGTCGACGCGTCGCACTCGACGACGAGCGGCTGGGTGAAGTCGGGCAGCGCCAATACTGGCGCGAATGTCACCGCGGCCTTGAGGGCCGAGAGCGCTGTGGCGGCCTCCTCAGACCAGACGAAGCCCTCCTTCTTCAAGAGCGCGGTGAGAGGCGCCGCGATCACGCCATAGTTGTGGATGAATTTGGGGTAGTGAAAGGTCCTAATGGCTAGAGGGGGGGTGAATAGCCTAATAAAAATTTCTACAACAACACTTAACCAAATGGTTAGACAATTATGAGGCGAAGCTAGTGTTGCGTTAGCCTACTCAAAAATGCAAGCCACCTACCACAATTCTAGTTTAGATAGTGTCAATTCACACAAGAGCAATGACACTACCCTATGTTAGTGTGCTCTCAAAGGCTAACTAAAGAGCCACACCAACCAAGCATGCAAGCTCTCACAACTAGCTACACTAAAGAGCTTGTCAACTAGTTTGCGGTAAAGTAAAGAGAATGATCAAGATAGTTATACCGCCGTGTAGATGAATGAACCAATCAATCACGAAGATGAATAACAATGATGACCAATCACCTCGGAATCAAATGATGAACACAATGATTTTTACCGAGGTTCACTTGCTTGCCGGCAAGCTAGTCCTCGTTGTGGCGATTCACTCACTTGGAGGTTCACGCGCTAATTGGCATCACTCGCCAAACCCTCAATAGGGTGCCGCACAACCAACACAAGATGAGGATCACACAAGCCACAAGCAATTTACTAGAGTACCTTTTTGGCGCCTCCACGAGAAAGGTCAAGAACCCTTCACAATCACCACGATCGGAGTCGGAGACAATCACCTCCTCCACTCAACGATCCTCTTTGCTCCAAGCCGTCTAGGTGGCGGCAACCACCAAGAGTAACAAGCGAAATCGCAATGAAACACAATCACCAAGTGCCTCTAGATGCAATCACTCAAGCAATGCACTTGGATCACTCCCAATCTCACTATGATGATTAATCAATGATGTAGATGAGTGGGAGTCCTTTGGCTAGGCTCACAAGCTTGCTATGTCAATGAAAATGTGCAAGAGTTCTCCTTGAGCCGGCCATGGGGCTATAAATAGAGCCCCCATCAAATAGAGCCGTTATACCCCTTCACTGGGCAAAAGCGCGTGCTCGACCGGACGCCCGGTCAGACCGACCGACGCCGGCTCTCGCCGTCCGTCCGCTCGATGTCGCCCGTGTCCAGACTCAACGGTCATCGCCTCGACCGGAATTTGCTCCTTGAACCGACCGGACGCTGAAACCTCGGCGTCCGGTCGCTTTCAAAGAAGCTCCCGAGGCATGTTTCTTCGACCGGACGCGTCGGTCCACCTTGACCGGACGCAGACCAGCGTCCGGTGCTCAACCCTCCTGCTGCTGTGCATGAAGTCGGCTGACCGGACGCAGCGATCGGCGTCCGGTGCTGCACGGATTCAGCGTCCGGCCACAGGACCGACGCCAAAGATTATTTCGACCAACTCCATTTCAACTCTAACTTCTCACCCTTGCTCAAATGTGCCAACCACCAAGAATTTTGCATCGGCGCAAT